CAGTAGAACTATAGCGTGAAAATTTCATTTTTTATTCAGTTTGAGGAAAATACACTGTAAATAAATCCTGTAAATACGAGGTAGAGCATGAAAAGGAAGGTGACCCAAGGAGTATAAAAGGGAGACCCTTTCTGCGACCTTTCACCCCCTCAGAGAAGTAAGAAAATAGAGTATTATTTTTCTCAAGCATTTCTGGTTGTCACTCCAGCGTGAAAAAGTGAAATACAGTTAAGATTGCCACTGTAGTAAAAGGCAGCAATTAAGGAGAGAAATATTAAGTAGATATTTCAACAGGAGAGCTGGTTAACACTCCAGATTTCAAAAGTGTAAACACAAAACAGTTATTTTGCTACTGTTAAAACAAGCAATAAAATAAGACAAAAATAAAACAAACTCAAGGGACACTCCAGACACAATCTAAATCATTAACTGAGAAGAATCTTTGAAACTTCACCAAGTAGAAGATTTAATTCAAGTTAAAATCCAAATTAAACGATCCTACACAGAATTACACCCAGACAAATTGAGAAATTACAATAGAGGAACAGCTCCGCAGGGCTTTGTTTATCTGTAAGTCAATTCTCAGAAGCTTTTAGACTAACCCATAAAATAGAATTAGCCAAAACACTCGGATTGGTACTATAATTACAACAAATATTACTAGTACACTTCCCCATCCTAACTAAAGAACTGTCATATCCATCCACAGCCATCAACTTCCACTACCTCCGAACTCTCCGGACTACCTCCGTTCCTTCTTCACTAACCTTGGAGCTCCCGGATTCCACAATCACCTCCACTTCCCTCGATGGTCACCACCCCCTCTTTTCAATATATTACCTACACCTCCCTAAGTACAGAGCCCTGAAGGCTTCCGGACAGCTCCGACGTCCACTAGCGCACTCCCACCTCTGCTGGGCAATTCACTCGCTTGCCCTGCAAGCCCACCTTCGGGCCTATCCCTCCTTTCTGTTTCTGGGTTATCGCCTACCATTCCGCTAACCCCATAACAGTAATATTCAATCGGCTAATGTTTAACTCCGTTAGCTCCACTCCACTTGGCCCTGCCATTTACGGGCCCGCCCTCATTGTAACTATATATACTCAACTTGTACATAGGTTACACCTCAGTAATAAAATCGACTAGAGTTGACCCCCTTTAGTTCTCGTTGCCAGTAAGTAAGTTAGGGCATGGACATGTAACTTGGCACAGCGCTCCTGGCATAAGTCGCTGAGGCCAAAGCCCTCCGCCACAGAGACATTCCTTCATCTCGATCTGGTCTCTGACAAGAACCAGGGAACAGCTTGGTGGTGGTCTCGTTTGAACCTCCCAACTGACCTTCCTTTGTTCTCCCCTTCAGCATCAGGGAACTTGTCCACATGGATGTAGAGGTAGATCCTGCATTCAGCCCTGAAGCAGTTGAGATCCTCGCTGGCTCCTGAGAAGGGGGTGGGGGGGGCGACCTTCGGCGGCCTGGGCCTGGGTGCAGGTGTCAGCATGGGTGTGGGTGCATGAGTGGGCCAGTCCTGGGTTCGGCTCTCTACAATGGCCTGTAGTTTCTGGAACTGGGCCAGCAGGTCATCATATTGTTCTTGTGTCACCATAGCAAGGGGGGCAGGAGAGGTGGGGGGGAATGAGGTTAAAGTCTTCTTCTGCTGTCAGGGACCGGTCCGGGGTTGAGAGCGTCCAGGTATATCGCCCGGCACTGAGGGCCTGGTGGGGTATGAAGTGGGCATGTATGGCAACAGGCCCAGCACAGGCAGATGTCCCTGAAGTGGGAATGGTGTGAATTATCATTAGAAGGAAAACTAAGCTACTTACCTGAAGTGGGAATGGTGAGAAGAAGACTGTTTCTCTGGTTCCCACCCCAGGTATGTGAAGGGTTGCTTACTATTTTGGGGACAGTAACGTTCCGTTCCCCCATTCGCCTCAGGCCTCAGTTAGTCCATCTAAACATAAGCTTTGATGAGCTGTATATTAATGGGGTAGAAGTAAAGGCTACCAGGCCTTTACAACTATTCTGAGGTATATATATGTAATTATCTTGGCACAAATAAATAAAGAAAGAACAGCATCACTATAATGGGAATTATAGTGATGCAACATAATATAAATATCACTATAATCAGAATTATAGTGAAGTAAGGTTAATCTACAGTATGTTTATATACATGGCACTTGGGTCACATGGGGGTTGCCACGTCATCCTCACACACAGCCCCAGCCATCCGGGTATCCCCATGGGAGATCCCAAAGAGATCCGCTGCAGGCGTGTGTGCTGGGTGCACCCAGGGGTCGTCCAGAGCATCCAGGGCTGGGTGCGTCGTGCATGGATTGTGAGCAGGTCAATAGTACATCGATCAAAGGAAAGTCGTCCGTGTAAATAGAAATAGAAAGAATAAAGAATGATACAGAGGGAGAATGGAAAGAGGGGAAAGTAGAGGGAGGAGGAAATAGGAAGGGGGAGAAGGGGGTAGCAGGTGGAGTGGAACTGGGTGGAACTGGGTGGAGCCGGGTGGGGCGGGTGTGCCCTGACAACTGGGACCTTGCCGCTTTCAGAGCTGTCCCTGACAATTCATAGCACCTGACTATAAAGGACCAATCTTTGGACAACCCAACCTTTCCTCAGTTCACATACAACAGGACTGAGGTGAGTTGGTTATATCTTGTTTGTCCTTCATACACCATGTATTAAACATTTGTCCACCAGCGATAAACTCACTAGGTAATTACTTTTCAATATATTTCTAGTTCACATACAACGGGACTGAGCGATAAACTCGCTAGTCCTCCATTTCGTCTTATATTTTCACCAACTTCAACATACAAGACTCCTCATCAGTGCTAGAGACAATTACGAAAGAGCACTGACTCAACCATCACGTGTGGCTGCCATTGCTGTCCACGAAGCCATTGAAGCGAATCTTCTTGCCTACTCTGTATTGGCAATGATAGAGGACCTCTTGCATGGCCATAGGATTTTCGCATTGCAATAATTTGCAGAACCCACTACGGAGTTAGCAGGAATCTGTTAGAATGGGCAGATTTGGATGACTCCGGAGTGGAATCGGAGACTTAGTGTGGAAGGACCTCGGCCTCAGCGACTCAGGTGGAGCGCTGTGCCATTGCTGGTTGTCCTGGGGGTCCCTAATTTCAGATCTAGCAGAGGGAAAGTCTCTTGGGGGCATTTCAGGTCGATTTCGGACTGAGGTTACAAGTTACTATGTACATTGTATATAAGGAGGGGTCCGGAATCAAAAGGAGCGAGGGTACTCCAAAAGGAGACAAAGGGAGCTGAAAGGAGGGGCAACACCGAGGGTCAAGGGTTTGACTCAATGGTGTTTCCCAAAGGAGGAGTGAAGGGCCAAGGCCCAAGGAGGAAGGAGGGAGGATGGGAGTGGGGAATGGCCAGCTGACTGAATAGAAAGGAAGCAGCAGCCCAAATAGGAATGAGGGAGAATAGCGGAATTGAATGGAGCAATGCAATAGTTGCAAGGTCCGACATAAGTCCAGAAAGTCCGAACTCGGAAGTTAAACTCCGGAATATTGGCAAACGTAATTAAATGGAATGAGCTAACCAATACAATGGGTATAAGCGGAGGTGGGGTCAAAGTCCGAGGTCAGAGCTAAGACTGGAGGTTCCAGAGACGGAGACGCAAACGGGATTCTGGAGCGGAGGTCCGGAGTCGGGAGCATAGGTGTTGCATGCTCATCTGGAAGGTGTTGAGGATGAGGTCAGACCCAGAATGTTCTGGTGTCGGACCGAAGGTGGTGTTGGAGCCAGAGGTGGGGTAACCTCTTGGGAGTTGGCAAGGGGAAGGTGATGGAAGGGAGGTAGGGCTCTGGAGTCAGTTTCGGAGTTCCAGGAGCCCGGAGCAGAGGTCAGGATTGTATGGATATGACAGAATCATCATGTAAGAGATTTCTACAAACAAATGTGAACTAAGGAAAGAAGCAAGGGGAAATTTTCTGGATACACATGTAGCGCTACCAGCACACAAACCCAAATAAGGGACTGACACCACACACTCAAGGACAAGACTAGTTGTCAGATGTGATGGCACACAGACCTCAGTTGCTTCCACTTCTAGATTGTTCTCTTTGTATCCATCCCTGAGTGCTGCAACATTCAACTCATGGCTACACTGGGGACAGCATCATGTCAATAAATGTTGACTTCAAACATGATTTTACAAGGCACCTAAGGCATCCCTGCACTGATGTGCCCAAAAGGAGAAAGGTCATTCATCAACAGATAGGTGACCAGGGAACATTGACCAGGAACCTGAGAGTCAGAAATTATGTAGAAGGGCACAAATTAACCCCAGCAAATGCTTCTTTTTATGGACTTTGGTGGTCCCTGGGGGTCATTCATTACATAGGGGTCATTGTGCATGCACACAATGAAGGTGAGTTTCATTAATATTCTCTATGACTTGTGTGCACACTGGAGGAGACGCAACAGGATAGCATGGCAACAGTCCTAGCCAATGCCAGAACCTCTTGAAATTGAAGATGACCTGGGTAACTTACAACAGGCAGGAGACTGGGGACAGAGGAGGGTAACACAAAAAACAAGGACAACAAGGAACAAGAGGGAGAAGAGCAGAGGTTACAAAGAACAAGGAAACAACCAAAGATAATGAAACCTAGGAAAAAGCCTGAATAAGCAATCGGGATCCCACCCACCGAGAGTAACCAAAGGTCACAACACCTCCCCCTCAGCAAGACCGAAAAGCTTACTGGAAGCAAGAAAAACCTCAACAAAAAACAGCTTGCAAGAAAAAAGTCTGCAGCAGAGGTCAAGGTAAAAGTGGGCTAGAGCCCTGTAGCATAGGCAGACGAACAACACACACAGAATTCATCTGAAGAAATCGATCCAGGAATGCAGCGGCAATAAACCTGAATCGGCATGACTGCAACCTCGGAAGGCACAGTATGCGTAAGGCCAACAGCGGGTACGGTGCATAAGATGAAGCATCACCAGGGATTGTGCCAAGCACGAAAGAAAAAACAGAGAGCGCATTTTTAGACCGACCGCTCACAAGTCTAATTTAATCTCGTGCCTCCATTAAATAACAAGTAATTGTTTTTTGCGATTGAATTCATGAAAATCTTTGAGCAGAAACATAGAACGTGCAAAGTTCCTGCATAAAGGAAGAAGAAAGTGCCATATTGATGGCTCGTGGCAACAAGTACTATGAATAGTGAATGGTATTACTTTAAATAGTAGATGCAATCAGTGGCCAGATGCCTGCTGAGAGCAGAGCAATACGGATAATGTCTTCACACTTGGAAAATGATTATGGGTGATAAGGTGGGCACCATCTATTCGAGAACCTGGCCGCTCTACCCAAACTGAAGATATCATCACCCAGTGGGTCTAAATGACCCTGGAGGACCCAGAAACTACCCTCCGAGACGCTCGGGAGCCAGAGCGGTCTTTAAGTAGATAGAAACGAAAAGCTTCACACATGGAATCCATGTGGCGCAATGAGGGTGGTACAAGAACTGATGGGCCAGGAGAACCCCTACTTCTCCAGTTGGAGTAAAAGCGGATACTCAAAGATTGGGAACGCAAGATTACAGGAAGTGATTTCGAGAGGGTTACGGGCGCTCTTGGCCCGCTACACCGGTATCTGCTGGGAAACACTTATTAGTGCAATCCGTTTTCTGAGCAACGACATCCTGACCCTCGTGAACATCGGCAAGAGCATGGCGCTAGCGATGGAGAAAAGCGCGAAACTGAACAAAGGGGCGAACCTTCCTGAAAAGGAAATCTTGACGGCAACAACTTGGTTGCATCCATTCAACTTCAATACACAAAGGCATAAACTACATCACACTCCTCCCTTGATCCCCTCATCTTTTTGCCCTCATGCGTTGCGAGCTAAGATGACAACCCTCCTCCATACCCCTACCGACCTTCCCGCAATGCCTTTCGACACCCAGCTGGTACGACGCAAGTCATCCGCCGTATCCACGTCGTCTACAGCCACGAACTGCTCTGCCAGACGGGCTTCAATAGTATCTTTAAGTCTAATGAACCACTCCCGGCAACCATTAGCGCCTCTTGGTCCTCAGATGACTCCTGCCTACGCCTTCGCAAATACCCCGTCTACCTGCGATCCTCCGGCAGATGGCAAACGACGATCGAGACAGTCTCTTAGTGAAGAAAGTCAACTAAAACCTGGTGCTGCATTAGACAGCTCCAATCAGGCTCCTCGGAGAGCTAGGTGCGTGCAGCATTCGTAGAAAACGTGGAAACGTCATTTATCACATGCTCCATATGCAGTGGCTCAACTGATGGACGTCTCATCTCCACCCCTGCACGCCTCCAAGCAGCATACAGCGCAAGAAGGGGGAGCCTTCCTATCCTCTCTATACCCAACCAAGTGGCTTCGCTTCCGAACTCGGTTCCTAGTCCGTCCATGCCATTGAAGCCGCCAGGCGATAATGGGCTATTCAACCAACTGCAATCATATGTCCTTAGCAGTTCAAAGCGCCCAAAAGAAGATAATTCTCGAATACAGACTCCTCCCTCTCCGAAGGCCTCGTTGATTACAAGGAAAGGGCGCAGACCTGAAGTGGAGGAAATGCGAAAGGAGACACGGGACTCCTCCGACGAAGAAGAGATTGCCCGGCAACTTGAACGTGCAAAGCTACGCGCAATAGACGATGGAAGCAGACGACCGAGCTTACCTATTAACATTCCTCCTTCTCAAAACAGCGTCTCGGTCGAGCGCAAGAATGAGATTGCCGCTACCCTTGCAGCAGCTCCAAAAACCCTCCCCGAAGTCCCTTCATCCGATCCTGGCCCTTCTAATGCCCTGGCCAACTTCGATCTTGACTTCATCTTCGGTGAACGCGCCTATCCCAATGGTCCCCTCGCGATCCCATCTGGTGCTTCTGCATATGGTGGTGCCCGTCGGATGTCAGTTTCCCTTGATACAGGCACGGATGCACAGGGGTGGACTGACACGTTCGAGCGTTTTGTGAATCAACATGATAGTGCCTATGGCGAACGGCGCCAGCATTGGACGTTTCGACGTCGTGTTGACCCGCATCGACACCCGGAGACGATGGTTCTGGCGACAGGGATCTGGGAATGTGGTAACCATGGCACATATTGGGTTGGAGAGAGCCACGACTCCAACTATGCAGATTATACGCAGGCATCACCATCTACACCACGCGCAAAGAAAGCATCCTTGGTTATCCGTCGATTTCCCGTTGTCGACGGGACGTCCGCAATACCTGGCTCTCCATCGACTCCTACGAAAGGGTCATCAAGTGAAGTGCGGATTCACATCCACAAGCATTCACGTGCTCCCGCTTATTCACTCTTCCTTGGGACTTGGAATCCATCGCGAGCTGCCAAATCTTCCATTTTACTCGCTGCCAAGAAGGTCCACCTCCACGTTTCGGCCAAGAAGGGCAAGGAGAGGGAAAAGATAGCCATGGATTCAAGTGGTGCCAGCCCGTCACGGCCCCGTGGCACAACTTTTTCTGGCACACAGCGCGCTGTGGTGACATCTGGGGCTAATTCTGCCCCATCTGGATCAGTTGGTGTGCCGGACGTCACGATGGCTGAGACATATCAACATGAAAATCCGCACGATGATTTCAAGCTGCCTCGCCGAGCCCCTCCTCCTGGCTATGTACCCCCCTACGTCAACCGTGATCTTGTTCTCCAAAATCCTAAATTGGATGTTGGCCACGACGCACTAAAGGCTACCTATGCGCCTCTTGCTCCTCAAGCGCGAGAAGCGTTGCTTGAACAGTTACGAACCCGACAGACGTTTGGGCGAAGAATCAAACGTGTTCTCGGTGCAGGGCCGCCTTCGCCGCCAACATTGTCGCTAACCCATCCATCGCATTCTGGAGGCGTGAACAAGCCAGTAGATGGTCCTAGTACATATAACCCGCCGTGGCTGCTCATGGCGCCTGGATACTTGAAAGAGGAAAATGACAAGAAAATCAAACGACTCCAGACTTCTTTCGAGAATGCCGGCTTTTTCCCTCAGTCTCGGGTCAAATCGACTAGTAAAAGAGAGAAAGGGAAGACCCATTCATCGACATCGAGTAGTTCAAGAAGTGCTTCGTCCAGATCGACATCGGAGCAAGGCCACTTCAGAGCAGTTTCTTCCCCTGGACGCGTGCCACTTCCCGAGGAACTTCCCTCCACGCCACAGTGGAATGGGATGTTGGATGGTGTTGGGGCCGACACCATGTGCATGGTACTTCCACTTTGGGACTTCCGTGACCATCGCGAAGCTGATGTGTTCGACCCTACCCCACCAGCCAGTGAACGGAAATGGTTATTGGTTACTTACGTTCCTTTTGAGACGGTTGATGCCATTCCATCCTCTCCCACAATTCATAGTCCCTTCAGGGCCTTTTTTGGTCACCGAAGTCGGTCCAAGAAGCGGGTCAGACGCGGGTCAGGAATGCCTCTCTCATCAAACCCTACACCTCCTGGCCCCAACCCCACGGCACGCGCAGGCACGAGCGAAGGTCATGAAAGTGGCTTGCGTTCATTCCGCATCGTTGGGCGCATCCTCTTTAATGACGAGCTTGAAAAATCCGGACTTCGTTATCCTCAAATACCCAATCGTGGCGCCTCCCCTTCACGAATGGATGTCGACTCGCGACATCCGTCACCACCATCTCCCCCGAAGAAGCGAAAACAGAGGGAGGCCGGCTCATTTACAGCTGTTCTGGCGATATGCCATGATTCACACTCTGGGCGTGGGATCGAGTTCATCCCCGAAGGTTTGGATTGTCTAGGTTTATGCGGTTCAGCACCAAAGCACGTCGACGGTGCCGTAACTCCCTATGGTCTTGATAGGGAATGCAGCCAAGTCGGCCTGCTGGGCAAGGAGATCCTGGAGATCACCTGGGCAGGTTGTCTAGCTCTTCTAGATGGATAACCATGATACGCACATGTGCTGTGGATTTCGCTTGCTTTCCATTTCATGTTATAGGTTTTTATACACCACTTCGCTTTTCACCCATTGCATACACCCGAACATTTCTTGTTACATTTTCGTTTAGTTAACGCGTCACCCCCGCGTACACACACTACAAAACCACCTCATGTACATTCTCTTGGCCGTTTATTACGGGTACATGCTGTATTGTCCATATCTACAACGCAAACTATTTGTGCTTCAAGTCGCGCTTGTAGTAGATGTTGCATGAATCGCGTGACTTTGAAACCGAAAGTCAAGAGGTCGATCCAACCCTTGAACTTGAAGAGAATTAGTGTGTAACAATGAGCTGGTATGAATCGTTGCGATTCCTCTCGCCTCTGTACACTGATCGGTAGCCTTGTGACGGTTGCAGGTCTGGGTGAGCACTTTTTTGGACTCAAACTGCAGCACCGAATGAACCCCCTCGCTTAGATTCAAGAAGACAGTCAATAGGGCGGGAACCACGGTGACCATCTTTGTTTTTTTTAATGTCGGAGAAGGACGCTTAGCGTATCTCGGTGCCCATAGCTCATGCAAAAGACTGGTCAAATTGAGCGGACGGTCGATCGAGACTTTTCAGATGAATCGGCCAAGTTCAAGACGTATGTGCCGCTCGCTTTAGGTCGGAATCCATTATAATCCTTTAGATAAGATATGAGAAAGAGACAATTGCCTTGCAAAAAGATAGCAAAGCCTTCCTTGAAGCGATACGAGGTGTGCACGGTCCACTTCCCCTCCAACCCAGTTGCCTCACAAGCGGAACGAAAATATAGCAATTGCATCGTCACAGGTAAAAATATCGGAGACCATCGATGTGTTTTATGGTGCTGCGGACCGAATGTCCGAAGGCGCTATGGCTGCGAATGCGTATCGACGATCGACAGAGGAGCTAGATGCAACCACGACAGGGCAGCTTGTACGTGTAAAATCGGATTGTCAAACTGGTTCCTCAATTACTCTGTAGGATCAAGCTTTCCGGAACACTATTCTTGAGCCCGTTGGGAGGATGGCTTCTTATTTCCCTAACATCAATTCCCTGATAGAAAAGAGAAATAAAAAGGTTAGTGTACATCAATCTTTCGTGATAATGGCTGTTTTGCAAACTACCACCGTTTAGCTACTGGATTATGATGCAGCACGAAGTAAACTGCGGAAGCTGGAGGGGAAGGTTGATAACGACCCCACGAAGTTGCCACGGGTAGGTCCACCGCATTGATCAGCTTTCCACCCTACCATTCACTCGGATTGTCCAGGCTGAGAAAGAGTACGAGGACGCGAAGGAAATCTTTGAGACGATCAATGAACAGCTCGTTGCCGAACTCCCCCAATTCTTAGACCTCCGGGTTCCATACTTTGACCCCAGTTTTGAAGCAATGATTCGACTTCAATGCAAATTTGCAGAAGAAGGGTATGAGAAACTAGGCGCAGTACAGCGATATTTCCCCGATAACGTTCGGGACGACTATGCTGCAGGGCAATTGGACGCACAGGTACGCGAGAGCTTATTCGTAGGGCTTCATGCCTGGCTGATGGCTGATGACTCGCCGTATACAAAGGTAGAAAACGTACTTCAAGAAATGAAAGATTTATCTATTTGCAGTGCCAGTGGTTAGAGTGTGTTGACGCACGCGATGACTTCGAACCAAAGACAGTAACATTTGTCCTTGCTTAATTCTACTTTGTACTTCCTGGCATATTTTTCGAGCCTGGTAAACCCGCTCTCATGCATTCTTTGATCACCCTCTTCACATTGGTGCTACTGTGCTCTGCACAGAGTCATACACCCGTGGCAATATTACGCTTTTTTCGACACTGAAAATTTGTCATCTCTTTCCCCTTTTGGTTTCTTTCTTTTCACTTTACATGATTTTTCTTACGTTTCAAGGTGTCAATGTGCCCCTTGGTATCGGTTCAGTTTGATCAGTACCATTGTATCTGAAGGCCACCATGTATGACCTTCACTCGCTGCCGTGGCATCTGTTTTTTTATTTTTCCCTGTATCGTGTTATTGCGAGAAAGATGATTGAATTCCATTGACGCTTGCAACATAACAACATATGTAGTTATTTGAGAACGGAACAAGTGGGCAGTGCAGAGTCTGGCAAAGCGCAAAGTGCAAGCACTCTAGTAGTAATTCATGCGCACAATCCATGGCCGTCACCATTATAAGACGAAATGTTGGACTAGCGATGTTGTCGCTCAGTCCGCTATGCGTGAACTAGAAATATATTGGAAGTATTCACCTAGCGATGTTGTCGCTGGTGTATGAATATTAGATACAAGTTGTTAAACACATAAATGAAGGAGAAAACTTAGACTCACCTCAGTCCGCTATGCGTGAACTGAGGAGAAGTCGTAAGGTCCAAAAATTGGTGTTTTATAGTCAGGCGCTATCAATGCGCACTGACTTTAGTAACAACTGATCCAAAAAAGGGAAACAAAGTAGATCTTAGCGCCGCAAGACTCAACATCAACAACGTGAGTTGGCCTCAGCGTACGCTTGTATCCCAAGAAATTTAACAACCATGACAAACACCATAGTCCATATATCCGCATTCTATGCTGTGGCCGCTTGAGCTCGCTTTCGACTTTCGAAGTCCTTGCGCGCCATGTACAGTGCTGTCAATTAGATACCAATTTGGCAAGATGGCACATCGCGATCCCTCAGTAGCGGACCTAATTTCCATTTGCACTTAACGTATGACAGAGGAAAAGCGTGATTTCGATTTCTTTCACGTAGATCCATGACTAATGGTCTTGGGAACCAGTCTCCTCTTCTACACATCGCATACAAGTCTACGACCTGCTCCACCAGTGAGCGACAGGGTGAACGTTCCCCACCCTTGGATATGAACGCATGGACTGATGGAGGATATGTATTTGGTATGGAATTTCGGCATGGCTCGCGTTTCCTCTCGGAGAACCTCGTGTACCCTTTTCCGGGGGCAGTATGATCTGGCAGACCACAGCTTTCCATAACGCTTATTAATTCGCTTCAGTGATTCCCATTAATTAATAAATATTGTCGCTTTTGGCCGTGGACACTTTGAGGTGTGTATTTAGCTATGTAGTGGAGTAGAGTCGGATGGCGATTTACCAACTCCTTGCCCACTATCTTCACATAACGCAGAGACCATTCCTCTACCCTGGACATAGACGGTGATGACGAGAGTGAAAGGGTTCCCATTCCTGTGCATCGCTTCGAGTCGAGCGCGTGATGGGCGCCAACAAATTGTGGGTATGTCTGTCTGTATGAGGACCTGATCCGATCCGTTATTATGAACAGCGTCCCGAGAACGCTTATCGCGTGTTAATTTTCTGCGGATAAGTCCTTCCCGGAATATGCGCATCTCTTGGTCTACGGCGACCTGATCAATTGGCACCTCTTATTCAGTTGCGTGCTTCCAAAGTTTGCTATCACGGAAGCCCAGGACCACTACTAGATTGTTTATGACAAAGCTGGTCAGGAGCTATTGGAAGAGTTCTCCAATGGTCCTTGTATATTGAGGAATGAAAGGCCGTATTCCTGCTTGTCACTGTCCCCTCTCATGCTGCCCACTCCCAGAACCCTGGGCAGGTGTTTACAACCCATGAAGCTGTCCTTTGCTTTTCGCACTATGCTCTGGATGGCATGGCTATGAATCCGTCAGGGAAGGATTTCTCTTTGCTTGGAGAAGCGGTGGACACAACAATTAACCGACGCCCCTGCACGTTCTGAGGGAGATTTATTGAGAATAAATGGGCTGCGACATGGCTGCAGATGCATGGATGGCGGCACCGGGAACAAAAGTGAGGCAAGCTGTTTAAAAAGTCGCATTCCTCAATAGTACAACCAAGGACATCCTAAGTCTCCAATATTGGGACCAATGAAGATTGCCTTGACCTTCATACTCAGGGGTTTATCATGTTTCGTCTCGGCAGACCTTCCCTCGAATTCGACCTCTCTCCCTAGTACGAAAACACCGGGTTTCGACGCTTATGATAGATTCGGAGCCATCCAATGCTAGCTTCAAGAAATGTAGATCCTATGGGGCCACGATCACCAACGCCCTTTTTGTCTTGTGCAACTTTTGCATGGCTCCACATAGGTGCGAAGCGTACTGATGCATCCAGTAAAGTACCCGCCGACGTCAGGAAATTTTGGAGGTCTCTCGGCGACACTCCCTACTATGATGTACACTGCAGTGAACATCCTACCCCATATCCAAAGCGCGACACCAAAAGAGTACGAAGAATTCATTCATCTCGGACTGAGATACATGAATGTCATCCTACCCGGATTCCATCTCCATGATATGAAGTGAAAGTGGTTCTCCAGCGCACGTTCTGGCACTGTGCCAGAAGTGTGAGACCTCAACAAAAGAAAGCTTACTCTTCCTAGCGAAGAGTCGAGAAATAAGGATTCAGAGAGCGGAACGGGCGAAGGCTAGAAGATGCAGCGGAGGCCCAACGGGACAAGACCAACGCCGTCAACGACCCAAGTATTTCGTCGAGGATCACTTGTTCCTCCAAATCTAAAAGTTCTTTTTACGTGACCAAACACACCGTCTACCGCCCTCCTCGGGCCATTACTCCTATCCATGAACCCTTTCTACCCGCCCTCCGCATTCCCTCACCTTGAACTGACGGGCCTTCTTATAGGCACCGCAAAAATAAGGGCGAGATGCTCCTCATTGGCCTGACTTTTCGAGGAAAGCTCTCTATGACCCTTGGCTGGGATGGTGCCAGTTCCGAAAGGGACCTCGTGGAGCAGTTTTGGGATCAATTTACGAAGGCAATTGAAGAGTTCTTGATAGATAGGAGGGACCCTGGACCAAGCGCCACACTGCGGGAGGGACTCAAGGCAAGGATTTGCTTTCAGACAAATTCATGGATCATCCTTGGTGGTTGATGAATTTGGTCGCATTACGTGGCACATCCTTTCCCATTCACCGACCCCACTATCTGAACACTCAAGTCGAGAAGCTAGTAGAGTACAGATGCAATATTTGAGCCTGGTGGGCTACGCAGGTTGTCACGTTGCCAGTTATTCATTTCAAATGGCCATCCCTCTGGGCAAATGCAGATCAAGATATTCGCCGTGAAAAAATGTTGACCTGTGTTTCCCGTAATTAGTGGCTGAGTGGATGCTTGAAAGCGCAGTAGTATTAAAACTGCTATATTACTGTAAGGCTGTTCGCGATTTCCTTCCATCCCTTCTGCTGTGGACCGCGATTTTATCCGTCAGATGGGAATTATCCAGCCTCCCAATAGCATGCAGGCATTGGCCCACCCCAAAAAGAACTGGCTTCCCAACTTTTGGTCATCAACATAGTGTGGCGTATGAAATGGCCGAGGACGTATGATTGGCCATTGAGGCGGAGATAGGGATGGAGTTAAAGCTAAACGTAATGACTATCAGGTAGACTATTGAGGGTCCAACGCATATCTTGCTGGGGGGACGTGCGCCCTGACACGTGTGTGACCACGAGCACGCCCAGCAGGCAACGAGAACAATGTGCTAGCGATCTGACGAAGCAAAAATAAATCCCTCTTGGGGAAGAATGGTGAACAAAGATAGCGAACGAAGCATCGCTCTCGGATAAGCAGCGGAGAGGGTACGTTGATCGCAGGCAGTAACCATCGCCAGTGTTCGGGGAGGGGCCCTTGGACCATTCGCCGTACGGAGAAAACGTGAACAAAAACGCAATCACAAGGCAACTCTTAACCCCTAACCAGGGTGTAGAAATGAAGCAAATACGCTCCGCTTGGGTCTGACAGGGTGATCCAAAAAGGCAGCTGCTTCGAAAAAGCTCACATATAGTCTAGCTCAAGCTCAGGCCATCGAAAAAAGGCCTGTCCGCAGAGCCGAGGCAGGTGATTTTTTTTGGGAATTAGAAGCGCGTAGACAGAGTACTGAACTTGGAGTCTGCGGTCGGTGAATAATGTCTTCCGGCGTTTGCCGTCCGAAGGACACCCGCTGCGTTCCACTCCTGCCCATCGCCCATCGTCGATTGTTCTCTGCCTAGAGCGCCTTTTGACTATTGGACGAACACACCGCGCTCTTTTGGTGTCGCTAGTGCTGCGAGCTACCCTTCCAAAATTTCTCAAGAGTTGTTGCTGTGAGCACTGCATCGGTATTATCTAACACGTCCTCTCTCCCGGGTTGGCCATCGCGTGCGGATGCACCGATGTACTACTCCCAACCTCGACCACAAAGCCCAGGACGCCCCTTGCAGTACAGTGACCCTTCTGCACAATGGTCGCGTTTGCAACACCCTATGCTCACCCAACCAGGTGTCCAGCAAGGGCAAGGTGTTGGAATGCCCTCCCAATCTCAGGGCTACGGTCTTGTCCAGTATGCCAATGGAAATACTCATCATCACAACCCAAACCTCGCACCACAACATCACCATCATCAGTCCCTCAATGGCTTTACTCCGATTACGCACTACCACCAGTCGCCGGCTGGTCCGCACTCCCAGCCTCATCGAGCAGCAGCATCGCCTCCAGTTGCGACTGCTGTCGCCCAAATACCAAAACATTGGCAATCTCAACTCGACCATTATGATGTGAGTTTTGTGTGTGCTTATTCATACACCGACTAATTCATGGACATACGATCTAGGCCTGCCGGAAGGCAGGGGCTCCGCACACGCGCGCACGAAATGCAACATCCAATACCCGCAATGCGAGTAAGGGTGTCGCTATAACTGACCCTAACCGAATCACTCCGAAACTTCAGAATGGCATCCCCAACGACGACACGGCGCCAAAGGAAACAAACGACGACGAGCCGACGGTTGAAGGACCTGAAGGACATCCGTCATCGACTGTTGCGCCCGTCAAATCACCAACCTTAGCCCGGCCTGCCGTTTCTCGAAAAGCTGAAAACACTTGGAACGCCTTAGATCTTGGAGGTATGCGGCTCAAGAATCTGGCCCCGACATTGTTCCATTTCCTCCACCTTACCACACTCTACCTCAACCATAACCAACTTACCCACATCCCTTCCGCTATCTCGCATCTTCGCAACCTTGCTCTTTTGGACCTTTCCGCCAACCAGTTGGAAGCACTCCCCCCAGAACTTGGCATGTGTGCCTCACTTGAACATCTTTGGTTGTTTGACAATCGTCTCGAGACCTTGCCACCTGAGATTGGAAGTCTTCATCAACTCCGGATGCTTGGAATCGAAGGCAACCCCCTTCAAGCGTCATTGATGCAGATCATGCAAGAACGGGGCACACAAGCGCTCATCGCCCATCTTCGAGATATGTGTCCCGTTCCAATGCCACCCCCCGAAAGAGCATGGCGGATCCTTCAATCAGGAGCTGAGAGAAAGGCTCAGGATGACTCAGAAACTTTTACAGTCTTAAGTTACAACATTCTTTGGGAGAAAGCAGCCACTTCGACGATGTATGGGTATACACCCTCCTGGGCCCTTTCCTGGAACTATCGTAAGGAAGTCATCCTCACGGAGCTTATGAACCATGATCCAGACTTCATGTGTCTGCAGGTACGACCTCATTCAGTCTCTTGTGCTGAATTGACTCATCTTGGTAATCTAGGAAGTAGATTCTGCGCAATATGAGGAATACTTCTTGCCTCATTTGGCTGAGCGAGGCTACGAAGGCGTATATTCTCCCAGGGGCCGCGCTCGCAATCTATCGGAGAACGAACGGCGATCAGTGGATGGTTCGGCTACGTTTTTTAAATCTGCCAAGTACGCTTGCCGCTTATGCCGCAAACTAGCGGAGTTGATCATGTTCTCCTGCACAGATATCGCCTTGTAAAGCATTCGACCATCGATTTTGCTCAAGTTGCTATTCAGCGCGATGATTTCCTCAAGAACAATGACATGTTTGATCGTTTACTTGCCCGTGATCATATCGCTCTCGTTACGCTCATGGAGAATAGGAAGACGGGCGGCCGTCTCATTGTCGCCAACGCCTACCTTCTTTGGGACCCGGCCTATCGCGACGTGAAGCTCATTCAGACCGGGATTCTCATGGAGATGCTGAAGGAAATCGCTGACTGGTTCGCACGATATCCACCCCGTCCACCCTCCGAACGCGAACCTGATCCAGATCCATCCAATCCGCTACCGCCGGACCCAACGTACGCGAATGGGAAGGAAATACCTCTTGTTCTTGCCGGTGACTTCAACTCAATACCCGGCAGTGGCGTCTACGATTTCCTGTTGGAAGGGCACGTGCCAAGCAATCACCCAGATTTCATGGATTACTCCTATGGCAAGTTCACAGCCGACGGATTAAGGCATGACTTTGGGTTAAGGAGTGCCTATGCGGGCATTGGCGAGTTGCCTCTTACTAATCACACGCCTAGCTTTGATGGGGTTATCGATTACATCTGGCACGCCACCTCAACGCTTGCAGTAAATGCCGTACTGGGAGAAGTTGATCAGGAGTATCTGTCCAAGGTCATTGGGTTCCCGAACCCCCACTTTCCCTCTGAGTACGTCTGATTTCGAACTGACTGCTGGATCGCTGCTCACTTTTCGCTCTAGCCACATTTGTGTCATGTGCGAGTTCCGCCTCAAAAAGGACCAGACCCGCTCGGCCCCTCCTGCACCTTCACTGAACGGGAACCCTTAGCACTTTAAATAGCACTTGCACATTCCTTAAAACATGTTTTCTCTTGCTTTATCCTTGCCTCGCCCCCTAAATGCCTATTGGTTGTATTTTTCCTATTCTTCTTCAATTAGGCGTTAACGATCCACGCGTTTTAATACTACATTTTATATGCGTTCCATTCTATCACACTCAGGTTCCCATAAAAGCAATTCTGGCTGTAGCTCCCTCTGTGTGTATGATCTAACGTTGTTTCGGTATAAAGCCTAGGACAGTTCTTACTTTTTGCAACTCCGTGTGCCTCATTTGTTGAATCCGTTATGGAACCCCATCACCTAAAGGTATGAGCCACGCTTGGAGTCCCACGAATACCAGATAGTGTATTAGGTCAGACGTGGCGGCCATTGGACGCACCACGGACAAGGTCTACGAGGTCCGCCTTGGGTTGTTTCGCTCTCGGATCAACATATGCCAGCAATTCCTCGAAAATTGCAGTTCGTCGCGCGTGCCTCTCTTTATCTTGCACATTTGATATCACGGGAGGCCCATCTGCCACAAGAATTGAATCGGCAGTGGATGAATTCCAGGTCATTTCAACATCACGAGTGTTGGCCACGGGGACAGCTTCAGACGGCGTGGAAGGCCGACTGAGTAACAACGACAGAAGGCCACGGAAAACGGATGTTTCCTCTTCGTCCTGGTGATCCACCAGAGCAGAGATCTCTGACTGAAGGTATTGCAAAGCCTCAATAGTCTGTCCGTCTTCACACGTCTCTGTGAACCTGAGAGCCATGTGAGACTGCGCAATACATGGATATAGGGGAAATACCTCTGACGACGAATAGCAAGGCTGCCTTTTCGTATGATATCTTCTGCATCAGGTCTTCCGTTTGATTCGTTAGCAGAACTGCGACAAAAAGTTTGTCTCCTTACCTGACGAGACTTAGTGCCCAAAAGTCGTCCAGTCGAACTTCAGCACCTGCATTGCCTCCAAATGCATAAAAGGTTTGTCGGTATGGTTCATAGACGATGGAATACCCCAATCGAGGCCGAGGGTTCGGATCTTCGGCATCCATGGATGTCATAGGATCGGTATCATCATCTGCACGCGCATGTTCCGATATTGGGGTCCATGCATGGTTGTCAATCGAGTAAATCCATAGGCTGATCCGTGGATTGGACTGGCTTTCAGAATCATCGTTACATGCACTCGATGAACCCGAGAGACCAGATACACTAGCGGTTATCAGTAGAAATGCAGGCAAACAGGAATGAAAGTCGCTGCGTACACGTATATTTCGCGAGACAGGTCATTGTATGTTGCCCGAAGAATGTCTGAAGGCCGAGGTTGAGGGGAGTCGCGGTTCACGGTCACCTCAGCGACATCCCCCGTAAGGGTGGAGTAGATAAATCTTCAACGTGGGTCAACGTATGCCCAGGATGATCGAACAATTACTTCACATATCACTCAGAGTCTGATCGACTCTTTCTCCCCCCAGGATGTATATGTGGTGATACTTATTGTCTAGCACCATAGAATGTCCTGAACAAGGTCCTGTGAGACATCAAGTAGGGGCTTGCAAATTCACTCACGTTCTCTGGACAATACCAGGCGTTGACTACTAAGTCGCCCGTGATGTGATTCCCCGCTAGTTGGTTGTCATATTGGGTCAGGAAAGAAATAAAGCTAGAGGAACCCACAAAATCCGTTTCCATCGACCTAATTTGAAGTCATATGAATAGAAGGCACCATACTTTTTGTCTCCCTGTTCCAGATCCGAGCCAAGCCGGCCTCCGGAGACGTACAACACCTGGTTTTCACTGTCCACAACCATAGCCAAGTCATGGGCCAATTCTGGCCCGCCTTCAGCCTGGAATGATGGTAGGATGATCGGCATCACTCGCCAGTTGATCTACGGAAATTGACTCACTGCCGTATCTTCTGAAATGAGTTCCCATTTTCCTTCGTTTGGACCCCTAGTGGAGTAACGCCAGAAGTCTGACTTCAATCTTCGCAGAAAATTCAGCTGTCTGAAGTACTGCGAAAACTAATATGCGCACTCATTACTGCGTGAACTACCGTCGTCCTTCGTTACAGTCCCACGGCCCCTTGAACTGTTTCCCGATTGATTGTCGGGTGTAACATCACCACCCGAGGACTCAACACCACGTCTCGTACGACCTCGTCGGGTATTGGACATTGAGGATCCACCACTGACTGGGACGGCCCCGGATGAAGATGAGGGTGCGAGGACAATTGTGGGAAGTGTCCCAGCTGCACTCACAACATGTGGAGGAGGCAACGAGATTTGATTTGAATCGACGTTTTGCGATTGTTGCTGGTTCTGTCGGTTTGATGTCGAATCCCCGTTGTTATGAGAATCAGACACAAATTCCCCAGGGGCGCGAAGGATCGGATCTCCAAAAGCAGGATTCGCGTATCTACCCATGAAATAGATATCCCCTGATCGTTGATCAAAGACGGCAGCACCACACGACCTCGGTGACGGCCCACGATTGCGCTCCTCGTTATAGACGTCTTCTGATATGAGCCGCCATTGTGATTGTCTGAGGTCATAGACCCAGAAATCGGCCAGTTCTCTAGCGCCGTTCCAGCCACCAAACAGATATATTAAGCCCCCAGGCCCAGCAAGACTACCCTCATTCTCCGTCGACGGTGCGAGATCAATAACCATGAAATGTCCTCCTCTGGCACATGGCCCACGAGAGGCCGAAGTGGCTGGTGAATGAGAGATGACTGAGGGACGAAGGCGGTGCCATATGGTTTTCGGTGCAATCGGAGACAACGCTGAATTCTGTTTTTGGGTTGTGTTAAGATCTGTTTCCCTATGAGGAACTGAAGAGGTAGGAAGTGGAGCTAGAATACGTCCCGCGGTGTTGGTCTCTGTCGACGCGAAAGCTTCGGAAGCCAAGATGAATGACCTCCAAATTTCCTCCGCACCGACATAGTCGCCTCTCACCACAAGCGCCCCATGAAGCTCAGAAACCTTGGGAAGCTCAATCACTAGGCCGGTGTCTCTTAAAAGCTTCTCGTACGCCTCGTTCAGTCGACGAGACCTCAGGTGCTTTAATATCAAGCGCATCGTCAAATTTTCACAGTACTGGATTCGGGGGAGTTCAGGATATGGAAGCTGAAGTAATCCAAGGAAACCCACACTGGAAAAATCCTCCGCAATCTGCTTAACCAGCTCAGGGTCTGAGACTCCATGAAGGGCTACGCTCCAGATGGAAATATTGTAGGTTTGTGTGGCGGGACTTGAATTATCAGGTTATTATTGACGCGCGTAGAATAGGTACCGTTAACGAACCTGAGGGGAACGATTTTAATGAATCTACATGGGAAAGGCTGTGATACATCAGTTGATAGGAATCCAACGGGAAAAACGCGTGCTCACTACCCCCTCTTCATTGCAATAATTTAAGGCAAATATTTGGGGGATGTCATCGTTCTTCAAATTTGCAGACAGCATGTCTTCGAGCCATGAATGCGAAGTCGGGATTTGAATTTGATGTCCAAATTCTACCCACCAGTCATATCATCGGAATCTTCAACTGATCCGTATACTTTGAAATGGTCCATGTTGCATGGATGGACTGACCATCAGAGGGTCAGTGGTTGAAAGTGGGATCATTCTGGGATTACCTGTTTTAAACTTGTACAGAGTCAACACAGAAAACTAGCTAGCACTATGCTCGAGCCCACATACCTTCCCGAAAGTTATTGTTTCTTCAATACCATGAGTGAAGGTGGGTGAATCCAAGCTTCCAGTACAATCAAACTCACTGACTACGCTGAGCCGCTCAAGCTCTAATTTAAGCCATTGCTTTCGACGCTGAAGAGGAGTGGAAGTATGACTATGTTGCAATTATGGTACGAGCGGCCATCATATCGAAAGGCGAGTGCTGTGATCAGATTGTCGGAGACGCGACAGCCTGGAACTTACTAGGCACCGGTCCACCTTTTCTCGGACGCGTGAACGTGTAGCCAGACATGGAGAAAGAAGTCAGAGAACCCCAGATATCAAGTCTAACTAGATGATAAGCCACCTGCTGTTGTGATCGTCAGGCCGATCCACTAGTACGTTTTCAGGCTTGAAATGACCCGAATATGAGCTCGCAGTGACACCCTTTACCGTTAACTGCACTGTCGACATTGAATATGAGCCCAGAGTCACTCCCAAACTCCGTCCCAACGTCCCGTAGAGGCGGATCGCAAATCCCAAGTCATAATTTCATTGTCGCATCACGTGCCATCCCCCAATCGTTACAGTCGTCGGACCGCCAGGGACCTCAGTTTTCTTCTCATGCTGAGCTCACTCCAACATACACCGACTCAGACACCGAAGGCTGACCCATCCGCTGTCACCTCTCCATACAGGAATAAACCGCGGTACTCATGCGCCAAATGCAGCGCCACTCTTGTTCGTCATTTCCGAGTTGTTCGACCCTGATTCATGTCCAAATGGCCCTCGAACCCCGCAGGCGCTGCAAGATGAGCTATTCAGCAAAGCATTTTCAGGGCGCGAAGGCCGGCACTTTTGATGCACAATCTGGTTAATGTTCAGGTGGGCAAATCTGAGGATCGCACCCTTCTAACTGGACTCCATACAGTGAGTGTGGGGATTACCAACGATTGCTAGTCCTAACTCCTATAGGTGGCCGATATTTATTGTCTCGGTTGCGGAGTAACCCTAGGCTGGACTTATTTACGTGCCCACGAGCCTAGCCAGCGCTATAAAGAAGGAAAGTTGTCTGTGATGCCCCCGAATACGAGATTTGGGCTCACCGATGTTTCGATTCGATCATCTCAGGCAAGTATATTGTGGAGACTCAGCGCGTCATCAAAGAAACAATTGGATCCTGGGCTCCTAGTGGCAAGCCGATTCACCATCCCCTCGCTATGAACTCGTGTTCCGGACTTCCGTAGATGCAGCGGCCCCTGGATCGAGACGCCGGGCGCTACTTATGTAATCACGTGCTGATTTTTTTCGTCAATTAATTGGAGGATGATACTGTGACAGTTGCAGAACTGCCCATTAAGCTTGGAGTGCCCCTACCGCCCATATTCCCAATGATAAGGCTTTCGCCAGACGTCATTGTGGATATCCAGCGCATTCTAGAGCTGAATCATTCGGATGTTTTCTGACCCACTTGATTCATTCGACTTCACGGAAAACCACGCTGTTAATATCCTCAACAATCTGATACCTGATGGTTTGTACTCGAATGCGATTCATTGGCATTTTCACCATCTCATCCTAAGTAGAAGCCTCTCTTACCAACCTGGATTCGGTTCAGCGAAAGCTTCGAGATGACCAGCGTTCTTTGCAACAGGAGATTGTCATTCTCAGAAATGAATTGCATAAGGACCAAAACCCAGAGCGAATGCAAGTCATTCAGGAGCTGATTTCTGTATGCTCGCATCTGCAATGCTTCTTCCGTTTCTTTAATAGGTCTTGATGTCCAGGAGCTACTCTCGCAAATGGCTCGCATACGCGAGAAAGCCACTGAATCCGAAGCTGTCGTTCGTGAAATAACGAAAGATATTCAGGTTCTGGATCTGGCCAAGAAGAATATCTTACACAGCATTACCGCCCTCAAGCGTTTCCAAATGCTAGGTACGAGAGCTCGTGCAGCTCAGCTTTGAGGGATGATAACATGCGAATGCAGTCAATGCCCTAGCTCAGCTCGAAGGCCAGATAAGAGGGAAAAACTACGGGCAGATATCGCAGACCCTTTCTGTCAGTGCCCCACACCCCCTAGCGACGATAGGTTACACTGAACTGCTTGCATGTTAAGGCAGTCAAAGAATTTTCCGCTATATTTAAGACGTACACTGCAGTTGAGCGCGTTGCCGCAGTCTGGAAAAAGGTACAAGAAATGCAAGCGGTCATAGGCAGTATGATAGACGAAGACTTCAATGCGTTGTAAGCATCCTGACTGCTCAGAAACATACCTACGGCCGTCCTACATCTCAACATACGCTTAAAGTTTCTTCCACGACAATATCAAAGCACCGAAGCCCGCTATTCTGAGTGACGCGTGCCTTGTGGTAGATGTCCTAGGCCATGATGTTCGGTGAGCTTTCTGTGGCTGCTATGGGTGTTTTCTCCGATCCCTCACATATAAAAAAGTGACCATCTCATTGACCGCTATTGTTCTATCGAGCTAAAGGAATATCGTCGAGTATTTCGCGCTAATGATGAGGTATGGGCATTCCCTTGAGCATATACGCAAGAAATCAAATGCATCCAAAGGCCGGACAAATAGACAATATATCTAGACGATTTGCTTGGTTTCGTCGTATCCTGATGAATCACTATGACGAAGAAGGCTATGCGGAGATTTTTCCACCAGAATGGCAGGTGGGGGAGCATCTCTGTGCCCGTTTCGTAGACATCACTCGGTTCGATTCGCCTTCATTCCGGGGACCAGCAACTAATCTTACGCGATCTCTCATCCAGGGACGATGTGACAGCGGCATTGTCAAGGAATGCTCATTCCTCACTGTCACCATGCTACTTGACGCACTCAAACAAACCCTTGAATTCGAACAATCTATGGCGAAACGCTTTGGAATGCCTGTACGTCTAGTGTGCTCCCTAGAACTTCTCGTCTCCCACACGTCGCATCAGTTCAGTAAAATAATACAATACTGTTCAAATCGCGAACCGAAGGCCATTTCATCTGCCTTTGACCCACACATGGGTGTGTTCGTAGATGCGCAAGAAAAGTTGGTCTTAATGTCTCGCCCAGGAACCGTATTTTTCAGAATTATGAATTAGGGCACTCGCTGACATGATGTCCGGATACCGAGGCAGCAAATCACGGTCATCACTAGAAGGTGTTACAAACCCTGGCAATGATTCGGAGACTGTACCGACTGTCCTGCCGTCATCCACCAACTTGTTCT